CGACTTATGGGGGTCGACTTAGAGTATCTGGACAACGGGGAGCTTTGCTGTTCCTCTTTCATTGATGTCGATTAGAGAAAGTCGGTAGATTAAGGTCGACTCGCAAGAGTCGACTAGATCAATCTCGGCTTCTTGATTGCTCTTAGTGTAATCGACCTCGCGGAAGTCGATTTGGGCATGTCGACGGAGTCATGTCGACGTGCGAATAATTCGAGTGGTTCGCCGGTTGAGTAATAAGCTTCTGGACCGGGTTATCCTTATGTGACCATATCAATCAGCGAGGAGAATGTTTCTCTAAAAAAGTAACTAGCAAGAAGTATTTTGGTACAAAGGAAGCTTAGTGTTTAGCTTTTGTGTATCCTAGTGATAGCATTCTTTTTTGTTTTCTTTTTGTTCGCTGTTTTTTGTTGTGTCCTCTGTATGAAGTGTTGAGTGTCTCCTTTATATGCAGGAAAAGGTGGATGGTAATTATAGCCGACGACCACCTTGATAGATAGGTGTATGACATGGGTGCCATGCAAAATTTTGCCTTTTGAGGACGGAACATATACTCCTCAGGTCTGCGGGAAGTGATTGGTTGGGCGGTGAAATAAGACCTTTTGGGCGGTGGTTCTTCCGTCTTCGGCTTTATGAGTTTACGTTGTCAGGGAGGGAGCGTTCACATATAGCAAAGTGATTGACAGAATGAGATCGTTATCACAATGATTTGATTTCTGCCGATCGCGTGATCTGCAGACTGTCCCCTTAGTACTCTGGGCCGAGCCGGAAGAGGCCTGCATATTTTACTTGGGCTCACTTGATCCTCTAGTTATGTGTTGTTTATCCAGAGTGCTTATGCAACTGTAATTATATTAATTATTTTGATAGATTTATGATTAGGCCTAATCTAAACTGACATATTTCTAACTTATCAATATACTTATGTCATTCAAAAAATAATTTAATTAAACAAAAGTTTAACATTAAATAGATTAAATATAGATGCAAGATTCAAAATGTATGATAGCTTCATCTATTTAGTAGTTAGCTCTCGCATCATCATCATTATCATTATTATAATGGTAATAACATATTGATTTTTGAATTAACGTAATGTTGCATTAATATTATAATTTATACACAAGGTGGATTATCTAGATAAAAATGTGCGTATACATTTATATAAAAAACTATATTTTCTTTAAATTAAATGTGTTATAATAAAACTCGTTCCCAAAATTTTGCAGACAAGCTCGGTCATGAATTTTAAATGAGTGAGCATAATATTATGCAAATTCTGTCTCTCCATGAAAAGAGCTCCAAATGTTTGTGCTGGCCATTAGTTTAACGGAAGGAAAAACATAAGGATAATGATGTATATCACGCATATATATAATTTTATAACATGAGAATTTACGGGAATATCATGAAATGGGTCGAATAATATGGGCAACTAAGATCTTAAGTTGGAGAATAAAATTTGAGTATTGATCCCTCTAAATTCCCATTTCGAATGGCGGTTGATCGTTTGTCGGCAATCCATATGTACCACGTGACATTAATCAAAACTCTGATAAAGAGTCAAAGACATGTCCGATACAGTTGGACCAATAACATGTCGACAGTTAGAGAAAACCCGTGGTTTTTATCCAATACGACAAATTATCTATAATTGTTTCAATCTTTATTTGCTCTTTTTTTTTGGTTTTCTTAAAAATAAAAAAAAAATCATGTAGTTTTAAAGTTCACACTCTGATGTGCAAATTTGTTCGGAACAAATTAAGCCGTGACACCACGAGAAAACACCGGTATTCGAGCTTTTAGAACCTACAATGCGTTAGGAGGAGTCTCGACGTAGAATTTTCGACGCTTAAGTCAGTATGAGTTTAAGGGAGAAAACTAGCTATAAAATGTGATCAAGTAAATATGAATATATGCTAAGGAATGGCACAGAATCTGAGTATGCTTATATAACAAGGTGTTTTATCAAGCAAGAGTCCTTAGGGAAGAGATCTAATAGATCCACTTTCCTAACTTACCATGCCTCTACATCTTGTCGAGACACACTTGCATTCATGTCCATATTATGTCTCCCCTTTCTATACGACACTCAAGTCCCTAGGTCGCAACTTGACCTCTTGACCTACCTTCTATTAGTCTATGCCAAGTCGATCCTCCATGACCTTCTCACCACGAGGTCACCACATGTAATCGGGCTCCAAGAGATGCGCGACCTCCAAACCATTTTTATGAGATTGACCAATACGCTGAGCTGCATCAACAAGCTCCTTGACTAGGCCAGATGCTGATATCGAGCTAAAGCTCTTTTGAACCGGCTTGGATCGAACTGGCTACCATACTAGTTCCTCAAGCTATTCCGAGTGCTACATCATCAAGCCCCCATTTCAGAGCGAGTTGCAATAACTTGTAGTGAAATGTAATGGTTGTAGGGCCCCCCGTTTACTTATCCATTAAATGTACAGTCAGACATACTGGAAGAATGTGAGATGCCAATAACACCTCAGTTCCTCGGATCACGAGCCTTCGACACGTCAAAAGTCCACGTGGGCACATCTTATCAAATTCTGTCCCGCAATTTGGGGCCCTCGATCCGTTTGTCAACCAACAGTCGGATCTTCTTGGTTAGTCTTCTCAGGCCTATAAAGACCCTCAATCCCTGCTCAAAACCCGTTCACAATTTCTGCAAATTAAGTGCTTCCCTACAATAAGAATTTTCTTCTACGAGAATTGTTGTTTTTAACTATCCCTATAGCTAAATGTTGAACTGTACTCAATTTCCAGCAAATCTTTCAACTTTTTTCAGTCTGTGACATGAGTATGTTTTAATTCTCCCTTCTGTCTCTCAACTTCTTTTTGGCNGTTTCTTTAATAAAAGCATAATACGTTGTGCATTCATTTAAGCTCAATTAATATTTTTAATCTTGAAATTTAATCCTAATTTATGAAAAATTATGTAACCAAAAATAAATAGATGTCCTCATCTATAATTATCTAAATTTATTAATAAAAAATGAATAGATGTTCTCATCTATTTTTTTCCTAAATTAATTTAAGTAACCTAATTTATATGAATTAACCCAAGTAAATTACCTAATTTTCCTAAGTTTAGCTATAGAAGAATAAAAGGGAATTTTATCCCAAGTTATGCTAAGTGAACTCCACCACCCTTTAGTATGTTTTTACGTTTCTTGTTTTGTGTTGTTTTCTGTTGTTGGTTAGTGTTTCTGTTTCTTCTATTTTGGTTCTCCCGATTGGGAGCTTCTCCCCTTGTGGGATTTTTTCTTTCTCCTCTATTGGGAGTTTGTAGGTTGTATTAGTGTGTTGTGGCTCGTTTGTTGTTGGTAGGTTGGCTATAGACTACACTTTGTGTAGCTCTCCCACCTAGATTCAACTGGTTAGCTGGTTTCTCAGCGGATTTGCTGTTTTCTAATTTGTGTGTTTCTTTCAATAAAATATATCGTTTGGTAAAACAATAAAAAAATAAAAAAACTCGACCACCCTTCACCAAACACCCAAGCCTCTAGGCCAAGACTCTTTCATGACCAAGCTAGCCAACACCAAGCAAGCCTCACCCTTGAGACCCAGTCTTCAAGCCTAGTCTACCAGCTCCCTTAAAACTCGACCTCCAACAACCCTCACTTGGTCCCAAGCTACAGCCAGCCAAGTAAGCAAAAAAACTCCCCTATTCTCGGACCACAAGCAGGTCCCACTCCTCCAGCCACCAGCAACACCCAAACAAGACCTTGCTCAACCCAACTCCCCCATTTCTAGGCCCACTCTCCAATACGGCTCAAGAGCCCCATCAAACCTAGCCACCTTTTATTTAAACACCTCAACTCCTCAACCACCACCCCGTTTTTTCCCTCAACATTTCACGAAAACATTACAAAAATATCCTAACTCCCCAGCAATATTTCCCTCGACCAGTAAGGATTACCGGCGAGACCAGCTCAGCCGAGGAGACTCAAGAGAAAGCAAGCACCATCGAGGAGACCGAGCACCCAACCATTTTCAGCAAGCCATTTCTGGTGTCGAGACCTCCCAGCAGCAACCAAGTGTCGATAGAACCCAACAGCGACAAAGAGCCGAGACCAATAGCTGTCATAATTCTCAACATCATCTCAATGTCTATTTTATATATACTACGTAAATCATCACTACAATATTTGTTTTATATATTCTATGTAAATCTTATCATCTAGCATCATAATATTTTATATAGTTTTAAACATATTGTTTAGACAATTTTTTTCTTTTACATTCTATCTATATATACATTTACATATACACATATACATGTACATATTTTTAGACATATTTTCTTTAAAAAATAATTAATTTAGAAAAATTTATGTGACATTTAGACATGCCCACGGACCGGCCCGGCCCGGCCCGCAACCGGCTCGTAGGTTGCCGGTTCCGAGAATCGTATCCGTGGCTTTACGGGTCATTTCCGGGTCCTGTTTTTTTATTTTTGGTCCCGGCGGTCCGGGACCTGGCCGGGAAAGGGCTGGGACAGGGCCGGTTCACGGGCGTGGCCATTGGTTTTTGGCGGGCCGGTTAAGGTTCACCCATGGGAGGCCCGCCGACCCGGCCACTGACCATGTCTATGTGACATTACATATTTTTTAATAGTTTTAGACATGTTTTCTTTACAAAATAGTTTAGAAAAATTTTAGGTAACTTTACGTCTTTCAATAATGATATATAAACTTTTAAATACTTTTACATACATTATTTAATATTTTAGGTGTTTTTAGTAATTTAAACATATATTTTTTTTTTCTTTTATACGAGATAACTTTTTATTGTTTTGCCGATGCGATGCATTGCTACGCACCAGNCATAATTTATTTAGTTGGTACATACATACAAGTGTGAAATTTGCATGCATCCATTTTAATAACTTACAACAACAAACCAAAATGTTCAATCCAGCAGGCAATCAATCAATCCAATCCAATCACCCTCGTCAAACATTACTCCCACACAACACAATCCTACTCACCAAACAACTCCACAGCACTAACCCCATCCAAATCCCTCACTGTCACGCCCTTCAATTTCTCCACCATTAACAAACTGCTCGAAATCCCGACCACCCCAGGATTCTGGCTATTCAAAACCGAAAAAACCGTCGCCTCCTCAAACCCGGCATTAAAGCAATAGTGCAACAGTCCCTTGGGGAACAAGAAAACATCCCCTTTCCCCAACTCCTTCTGAAAAACCCGGGCCCCCGAGTCCACGAACCCGGCCACCACAAGCCCGGCCCGAATAAAGATAATCTCGGAAGCCCTCGGGTGAGAGTGCGGGGCCACAACCCCATCCACGTCGAGGTCTATTCGAGCCCCCGAGAGCCCGAGAGTGTTGAGGCCCGGGAATAGGCCCGCGGTCAACATAGTCACGGAGGAGCGGAAGAGATTGTCCGTGTCACCGTGCACGGAAAGGGCCGTGGACTTGAAGTCGGACGGGCCTCTCTCGGACGGGCTCTTGCACGGGTAACCGTTGATGAATATGTTGCGGGTTTTGGTGTCGGCTGGGCAGAAGTCGAAGAGGTTGTCGGGGTCTTTGGCGGAGGAGGGTCTTATTGTGAGGGTGCAAATGCATGTTGTTATGAGGAAGGATGAGAAGATAGTAATCATTTTCATGTTTTTAGTTAAGGTTTNAATTAAGCTTGGAGTTAACTTCACTTAAACAGCAAATTCATTTTCAGAGGTTGCTTATCCTGAGAAAAAGGATATGTATCATTTTTTTGCTTAAAAGAAAGTTGGGCTGTGTTTATCTGGGATGGTTGGATATCTTTATTAATTTGTGCCTTGGTTATATGTAAGTTGATTATATAAAGAAGACATAGTTACTTACACTCTGTTATGGAGGTTGAATAAGTTTTTCACACTAAATTATAAATTAATTATTTCTCATAAAGTGCGAAAGACATCGCTACAAGAATGTGATGAAATTTTAATGGAAAATTCCAACGACAATTTAAATAGATATTCCAATGCTATTATTATTTCCGTTGGAATTTTTCAATAGATTCTAACAGAAATTCCAACAAGAATATTCCGTAGAAAAGAGCTATATATTGTCATGTGTATCGAAAGTGCTATATATTAGTTTTTAAAATTATTTTAAATTTAAATTAAAAAAATCTCTCTTAATTTTTTCTTAAAAATTCTATCAGAATTTTTTTTTGACGAGCACTCGTGTAAAGCGGGTGTTGTACCGGTTATTACAACAAAACAAACTCTATAAATCATTTTCCTATGTTTGTTATGTTTTTTTATTGTTACAAAAACACTATATAAGCAACCCGTTCGATAGAGTCTGACTAGGAAACAATTAAAACAGAGCACTGCTGCATTCTAACCACCACATCCACACGGCAGACTCTTATTGGGTCTTCGTTCCAGCTGGCAATCCATGCGCGTCACCACAACTAAACTCTCATGTCCATATTTGACGACTAATAATTACTGCATTGAAAATTGAGAACTATCAAAATTCAAGAAAGATACTAATTTCGTCGATTAAATGTTATTTTTGGGTGGATTTGAACACAATGAAATCCTTACATCCTTTTAGCAATTTTAGTAACTTAATTAAATTATAACTAATAAAGGAATGTGGTCACAGAACAACCAATCAATTTCAAATTTCAATAAGAGGAAAACAGAGAACATTTTGTGTACATTCTTTTGCTCCATAACACTGCTTATGGAATAGAATGTAACATTTTACACAAAAATATAAACTCGGATCCAAGAAAAAATCATATGATGTGTAGAAATTATATAAGTTGCATATATAAATATTAAAATATCATTAATTGTGGTTTCACACCAATGTCCATTATTACATTGCCTGTTTAAAAAATAAATAAATTAGATATATAAACAAACAAATATTTAAACAGACAAGAATTACTAAAATTAACTTGTATTTTGTGCAAAATATTTTATCATTATATATACTTGCTTAATGA